CATGCTGGCCCTTTCACCCGTGGGGCGTTATTATGTGACAATCAACCCCACTATTCGTTGGTAAAAGAGTAGCCCAAGAGTTGGCGGTGGGTGGTGATGAATAGCTGCCTTCCCTCTAGTCTTACACTGCTAAAATAGAGACGGCTAACGCAGATAGCCCTCGTGTAGCTTTGCGCGAAATCCAAAACAAAAAACTAAGAACTTGTTAAAAATACGCCTATAAGTGCAGTTTCTTTGTAAGTTTCAACATACTCTGACTCTCTCAGATTTTTCCATATCTATGTATTTTATAGATGCTTTTATTTTGTATACCAATCTCCTGACTTTATATATATATATATATATTCGTTTTCTATTTCATTATATAGGTAGAATTTGGACTAGAACCTCCCTAGATCGAGAAGAGCAGTCGCGGTACTGGTTATCCGTGTACGCTCAAGACAAAGATGTTGTCTCTCTTGACACCCGTTTGGACGTCTACATAGAGGTACTGGATGAAAACGACAATATTCCACTCACTGAAGAGCCTGTCTATTATCCTTCTGTGGTAGAACATTCCGAACCAGGGACCAAAGTTGTGCGGCTGATCGCTTTCGATGAAGACCAGGACTCTCAAGACGGAATAACATTTAACATCACAGCAGGAAACGCCCAGGGTCTTTTTGTTATTGAACCTATAACCGGTAAGTTTCAGATACCATTATCTAGTTGAGGCTTTTTGAATTAAAATATCAAAATTAGGGTATAAGTGATCTGCCTAACTTGAAGTTTAAATACGGTTTATCTGACCATTCTTAGAGACATCGAATACAGTATTGTGGTTTAATTTGCAACAGACTTGTAAAATTGGATCATTTTGAAGTCTACTGTTTTAGTTCAAATTCTTCATTTCGTACATACTTTTGTTCATTTTACGAGCCATTAGATAATAACTCAAAAGGCTTGACATGGAGTTTGTTCAAAATTCATTAAGCTCTTGTAGTGAATTCGAAAAGAACTGGTTAATGATGAAATAGTATTATGGTATTCTGCTTCATTGAAACGATTAAGTTATCTGGTTAAACGAATGTTCACGATTACCAAACATTTCCTGCGATGAAAGATGATCAATATGCCGTTTCCCGTACAGGGATTGAACAAGAGATTATGAGGTATTAAGAGCTTCCTTTTGCTGTTTTTAATTATTCTTATGCTACAAACAAATTATTCACAGAACTCGTTGAATGTCATCTTATGTGACAGCAATTAAGGTAACTTTTATAACAATGAAGTATATTTAAGACGCTTTGCTAAATCGCCGAAATAAAGTCTTCATTTCAAAACGTGATATGCATGAATTAGAATATTTGACTTCGTATTCAAGAGAGAGAAGTAACACGAGACTATATGTATGAAGAAACAGTGAATCTGATGACAAAGCAGATTTTTCTACTTGATAATATTTCAGCTTTCCACTGCTCATAATCAGCCTGAAATTAAACTACAATAAGACAAAACAGGATAATACAGCCGAAACAAACTAAAAAAATGCGATTTGATTGCAGTTATATCTAGTTCTATTTTATATATCATCTGCATGTAACATGACAGCAAAGAAAAAGAAAAAAACAACAACCTATAATTCAAAAAGCTAACAGACTATAATTAGACAAGTTTAAAGTTGTAACGCTAATCTCAATAAACCGTGGGAACTACAGCATTGAAAGAAAATGGATGGATATGTGAATTAATGAATAGCTAAATGGATAAAGAGATGAATCAGTTGTGTGGATGAGTGAACACAGTCGTTGAAGCATTACAAAGCGTAAAAAGCATATTGTAAAAAGACGTGGATGAAATGGGCAAAGAAAACGCCCGTACTTCAAGTTGAAATAGGTTTGGATTGTCGGCAAATGTTAATTCAGGTTTTTCTTGTTCAGTTTTATAATTGTTAGTTTTAGAACGACATCAACTGATTTTTAATTTAATTAGAAGATTTTCAAAATATATTTAATTTTCATTTAGTAAAATGAAAGTAAGATAAAAGGTTTCGGTTAAAATTAAATACCGTTGAATAGGACAAACGTATTAGATCGTCAAGAAATTAATGTTGCTTTTTTTAGATGAAAAAACCCGAACTGGTTATATATCAAAATAAACATTTATTAAATGAAATAGTCTCCATTCCTATCAATGATGCTTTTCTATCTTACAATCAGGTTGTTAATGCCCTG